GAAACCTAAAAATCAAATTAATAAATAACTGTACACAAAAGGGAAAGAGCTGTGTTTAATTTGATGGTGTGTTCTCTAATGGTAAGAGAGTTGTCATATTTTATCAACTGCTAAGAAGATAAGCATAACCTCTTTCCTTTAAAACATATCTCCCTGAAGTGTCTTCTGTCCAGAATCCATAGAAGAAATTCTTGTCAAAGAATCCAGCCCTTGTGACCAGATCCCTATAGAAGAGAGAATGCTTCCTAAATTCCAGAAGTCACTGCAGGGATTCAGTTTAAACTTTCATGATATTCTAATTTTACCATCTCAAAAGTAGTTTTGTATCAGGGGATCTAAAGCAATGTACATCTGGCCAAGCATGGTGTCTCACACCTGTAATCCTAGCACTTTGGGTGGCCAAGGCGGGCGGATCACTTGAGATCAGGAGTTCAAGACCAGCCTGGCCAACGTGGTAAAACCCCGTCTCTACTAAAAATATAAAAATTAGCCGGTGGGGTGGTGCATGCCTGTAATCCCAGCTATTGGAGAGGCTGTGGCAGGAGAACCACTTGAACCTGGGAGGCAGAGGTTGCAATGAGCCGAGATTGCGCCACTGCACTCCAGCCTAGGCAACAGAGTGAGACCCTGTCTCAAAAACAGAAAACAATGTATATCTCAAAATCTTTCCCAGAACATGGTGCCAATTATTTATTTTAAGCTGAAATAATTTGTACTTTGGGGGTTATAAGAACCTACATAATCAGTAAGAGGATAGAAAACTTTAAAGTTTTTCAGATCTTAAGCCAGAATTCCTCTAAGATTTCAAAACATGGTCCATGTTTTATGTTATATATCTATAAATCCAATCCAAGTTTACCATTGTACAGTACTTATCCCAAATAGTTCTAGATCTTTTAAGTAATTAGTTTGAAAAAATGAGGAATGAGAATAAGAAAGTCCCATTGAAACAACCCTTAGAATGTGTGAATGTAAAATACTAATGTTCACAGACAGGACTTTACACACAAGTCTTGATGTGTGATCCATCAATCTCCCCTGGCATGCTACATAAAAAGATACCTCCAAAGTTCAAAAAGAGACTAATCCTAAATAGAGTTTGAATCCTTAATAATTTCATTAGAAACCTGCTATTAATAAATTGGTTGTGGGTTTTAAACACATTAAAATTTCGTTTCATTCTGGTGTTGTATACAGAAAATTATTTTTTATCTGTATTAACATCCCAATATTCTAATGATAAGGGATTCAAGAACATTGAACATTATAACTTAGTTCCATTTTCTTATTTATTTTTTGTATAGAGGTCCCATTATGTTTCCCAGGCTGGTCTTGAACTCCTGGATTCAACCGGTTCTCTCATCTTGGCCTCCCAAAGTATTGGGATTACAGGCGTAAGGCATTGAGCCCAGCCTACATTTTCTTTAACTTCCTAATTCTTATTTTGATAGTTCATGTTCAAAAAGTAACTGGTTATAAAATTCCACACACAAGGGCCAGGGACGGGGGCTCACGCCTGTAATTCCAGCACTCTATGAGGCTGAGTTGGGCAGGTCACCAGGCAAGAGATCAAGACTATCTTGGCCAATATGGTGAAAACCCGGCTCTACTAAAAATACAAAAATTAGCCAGGCGTGGCAGCATGCACCTGTAGTCCCAGCTACTCAGGAGGCTGAGGCGGAGAATTGCTTGAACCCAGGAGTCTGAGGCTGCAGTGAGCCAAGACCTTGCCACTGCACT